AGCGGCAAATCCGCTTCCTAAAACACTGACTGCTGGTTGCTAAACTCCTGGTGCTGAATCCCTGATTTACGTCTGCTGACATTCTGGCCAAGGCTACTCGCTTCCCAGCTGGCTGCACCAATCTTCCAGCTGCAAGGAAACCGACATAGTAGCATGAAGCTATGTTTATTTTGCCCACATAACTTAGTTGCTTGAGTTGAAAAGGTAACAGATCAGAGCCGGCAACCACGGCTTAATTCCAAGTTGCCAGGCAACCGCACATCCGCCAGTGAAGTACTTTCAGACGGCGCTACCAGCAACTTTGGAAAGCGGAGCTGCTGGCCCTTCATGGGGCCATAAAGCACCAAGCTGGATGAGGCTCACAATGCTCTGTAAACAAGATCGTTGTGGGCTATATATCTAATGATGCTTAATTAACACTCCTGGCAAATCAATCCTAAAAACAGCCTCCTTCATAATTAAAACTCTGCCAAGTAGGAGACAGCACCGGAGCTATGGCAACTTGATGCTTGCTGAATTAGGGGAGGAAAAAGAAACGAGGGAGAGGGGGGAGACTCTTGACAGCAATTACTGTGTGCTTAGACTAATTCACAAGCAGATGGTTGCACTTAAGCGCCAGTGAAGGAGGACTGCGTGTTACTGTCAGCAGGATGAATAGAGAGGCTGTGTCGATCAGTGGCTAGCTTTCCATCAGAGAAGCCTGGGGCAGGCGAAAACCATTATTACTTACTATTCATACTCTGCCATCAGCATACATGAGTCCCTTACAAGCTAAACAGGTAGGTCACTGTCTCCAAAGGAGCACCGTGGAACCACTTTAGACTGTCATGGCTTCACCCCAAAGAACTGTGGGAAATGTAGCTTGTTAAGGGTTCTGAAAGTTGTTAGAATACCCCTATTGCCCTCAAAGAAGGACAGTTCCCAGAGTAGCTTAACCATCAATCCCTGATGATCAATCCCTCTTCACAGGCAACCTTTGAGAAGTGTAGCTTGTGGGGAGGAATAGGGGTCTCCTAACAACTCTCAGCACCCTTAACAAACCACTGTTCCCAGAATTCGTTTGGGGGAGCCATGGCTGTTTTGAAGTGGTATTGCTTTAAATGTGGTATTGCTTCCCTCCCCTGATTCCCTCTGAGGCTGATAAGCCATGAGGAAGAGTTTGGAAGGTTGCCGTTAGTTCTCCGCTGCCCCTTACCCACTCGCAGCCCCTCTGGGAAAATCACTGGCTAAGCTACTTGTGAGCTACTTGTGAAGCTGCTGGTCCAGCAGCTTCTTCCTCACATGAGGATAAGCCGCAGTACAGGCAGAAACAATGGTTTTTGAGGAGAGATTCGAAAGAAGGAAACAAACACATTCTGGAAGAATCTTTCATAGAAGGGGGCATCAGCAAGGAGGGATGGGAGTAGCCGTTTAAGAGAGCTGAGGAAAAGCTCTGGAAAGCTTTAAAGGAAAAGACATGGGGATCATTGCAGGATATGGAAGGGTATGGGGAAGCCACTGAACAAAACTGAAGAGGGACTTCACTAGGAAGGGGTATCACTGCTTCAATATCCTCTCTCTCTCCCTCTCTCTCTCTCTCTGTCTCTCTCACACACAAGCACACAACCACACCAATTAAGTCCCAAGCGAGATTGGCTGCTCCTTGTGGGAGAAATGAGGATGTGGTGATGCCACATTTCAAATTGCTAGATGTTATGAGGAGAGAATAGGAGGCGAAGGCACTTGTGTAGCTGCTTCTGTCAGCTGTCAACATCCAGGTTCACTCTCCAGAATGTGAGGCTGACAGGCTTAATTACAGAACTATAATTAATACATACTTGTGTTTAATAAATATTACCTGCCAGTTTACGCGGCACTTCAGATTTGCAAGGTGCTTTGCAACAGAAGGGTGTAATCACAATAACTCAGTGCTATGGATAGATGGATGAGTCTATTACCAGCCCTGGCCAATTCTGTATATGCTCATTCCTAAATCAGCTCTGCCCTCTTTCTGCATTAATTTGTGAGTTTCCTTTAAAAAATGAATGAAAATACATAATTTTTTTTCTTAGTGCACACAATTCTAAAAGTATTTTATCCTAAAATGTGCATTTTGTAATGCATGTTAGTATGGTTTTTAAGCAGAGAGGTGTATTGCAAATTTCAGATAACTGCAAAATATGAAGGATAGTAGCATTAGTCATGCATTAGTCTGGGAGGTGTGAAACTGGCCAGCTCACATTCTTCTAAAGCATTTTCAGAAGCACACAGCTTGTTTTGTCCTCAGTGATTTTTCAAAGCTTCAACATTTTCTGCTCAGCCACCAGAATGAAGGGGAACTGATCAGTCAAGCCAGGAGAAATTCTGCTCTGAAATGCCTGCTTTGGCTTGTTCTTATGCACAGCTCATTAGGGTAGCTAGCCTTCCTAATTCTCTGTACCTTGGCCACAAGCAAGGACAAAAATCCAGGAGGAAAAGCAGATAGACTCATTTGGGCTCCACATTCAACATTTTTTAAATGTCTGGTAATGAAATGCAAATAGTTGGCTGTGCAAATTTCTTAGCAGCATCCTGCTGTATGGAAAAGCTTTCCATGTGACCTTAAAGGCATTTGGCCCAGAGCCAAACTAGAGTTACACAGGAGATGCATGAACAGTTCCTTAGCTTTTATTTATTTATTTTTTGAATGAAAAGCAGCTGTGGGAGGCTGCCAGTCTGAGCAGAGGAAGGAGAGGCAGGAGGGGTTGCTTAACCCATTCCCCTTCTGCTATTTGTATGCTCACAATCAACATCCTTAATGAGTACCCCCACCCCCACAAAACTCCCAAGGGTTCTAAAAGCAGCTTGGAGAGCAGCAATACAGAGATGCTTTTCTACTTCTAATCACGGCTACCAATACTTTGTTTCAGTGGGTTTAAATTAAAACTAAACTAAACTAAACATTTCAACTATCTTTGGTTGGTCAACAGAGCATATTATAAAAAAAGACACAAAAAATCCATTGGTGTGATATGACACACAATTAGCAATATCTGCTAATAGCTCTAAAAGGTAAAGGGACCCTTGACCATTAGGTCCAGTCGTGGCCAACTCTGGGGTTGTGGAGCTCATCTCGCTTTATTTGCCGAGGGAGCCGGCGTACAACTTCCGGGTCATGTGGCCAGCATGACTAAGCCGCTTCTGGCAAACCAGAGCAGCGCACGAAAACGCCATTTACCTTCCTGCTGGAGTGGTACCGATTTATCTACTTGCACTTGGATGTGCTTTCGAACTGCTAGGTTGGCAGGAGCAGGGACCGAGCGACAGGAGCTCACTCCGTTGCGGGGATTTGAACCACCAACCTTCTGATCGGCAAGTCCTAGGCTCTGTGGTTTAACCCACAGCGCCACCCGCGTCCCAATAGCTCTACTTGGAAACTATGTAAAGGTAAAGGGACCCCTGATCATTAGGTCCAGTCGCGGACGACTCTGGGGTTGCGGCGTTCATCTTGCTTTATTGGCTGAGGGAGCCGGCGTACAGCTTCCGGGTCATGTAGCCAGCATGACTAAGCCACTTCTGGCGAACCAGAGCAGCTACATTTGTGTAATTAAAGAGACTGCATTTAAACTTAAGAATCCTCTGTGAGTACTCTTGTAAACTTGAAATGTCCAGGAAGATATTTTATCAAGACACTATATTTAAACATAAGCACTCTCTGAGGGGGTTTATGTGATGTTATGAATTCCAGAAAACCCACAGAGTTGCAGTTATCTCTTTCTGGGAATTAATTTGCCAACAGACTAATTTGCTATGAGAAACATTAATTCATACCAACCTGTTGTCTATGTAAATGAAAAACTCTTGTGCCTGTCGTATGAATTTATGCAGATAAAGCTTTTAGAGGAGTGAGCATTCACTGCTGATTCCCCAGAGCATCCTGTCCTAGGCAAGATACACTGCCTGCATACTTAGGTTCTGAATGTAAAGAAAGACACTCCGCAGGAGGCATAACAAGGAGCTGGGCACAAGCTATGAGCATTTTCCAAACACATTTATGAGGAAGTCAGTCCCATTGAACTAACATGAAGGTTTAGGGCAGAATACGTTAGTTCAGTGTGGGACTTCTTTGCTGTTTGCACTGATCATGTCTGCTTGGATTCTGTCTGCATGGACGACTAGTAAATAAGTAAGGCGAACTGCACAGTGACTTACATATATCAAGTAGGGTGATTCTGTGTGCCTGACACTCACAGAAATAGCTCAGTCTCCCAGGCTTGCAGTGGAAACAGTATTTGGAGGTAAGGTACTAGAGCCTCATGCTATGAGTCCCATTTGAAACACACACACACACAGAGAGAGAGAGAGAGAGAGAGAGAGAGAGAGAGAGAGAGATCGAGATCCATAGATTGTAGTGGCTTCAAGTGCAAGAGCCTAACTCTCTGTTAAGACATTCTCTGATGTACCTGAGGCAAAGCACACCATCTAGAAAAGGTCCCTGAACAAAACAGCACACGCCCCAGGCCTGTAAGACGAGAATAAAAACATGGCATATACCCAAAGTTCCAGAATCACTGGTGATTAACATGCTTCCTAGTAATAAAGATGCTTATGGACCTCCTGGACCAACCAGCTTGTGAGAAGGCACAGCATGTGAGAGTAAAGAATAACAGCCGCAAAATACATCAGAGGTAGGGCGTTGGAACCGGCCTGTGGGCCAGATCCATAATTCCCTCAATCCCCACAGGTGGGTGGGACTGCCCACCTGTCTATCCCTTGGTGTCCTAATGATACTGGGAGCATGCCCTTCAAAGGGGTTCACTGTAACTTCCAACCAGCTGACCAGCAGTTACAGGGAGCCTCTTTGAAGTCCTTTTGGAGGAAGTGGTTCCATTTCAAATCACTTCCCCTCCATGAAGTGCTCCGAGTCCCAGCCGCTTTGTCTGCAGAGGGGGAAATACTTCATTTGAAAACATCTGTCATGTTTGGTCACTGATCAAAAAAAGGCCAGAATGAAAGCAAATAGAACTTTCCTAAGAACTTACTTGAGGGCGGTTTTGTAGTGGTAGATGGCTTCACTGTCACGACCTTGGTCTTTCAAAAAATTGGCATAGTTGTAGTGCACCTTGGCATTATGGGGCAGAGTCTGGATGCCTGACCTATGAACGAGAAACCACATAGGAACAGTAACAAACACAGTTTTGCTTTTTGTTATTGGGATTGCACCTCTTGATAGCTTGCCGTAAAAGGTACTAAAAATGAGGCATACTGGAAACCACGTACTTGGAAGAAACAGGATGTACCTCTCAAACCAAACTGTAGTTTTGTTGAAATATATATATATAAAAATAATAAATGTCCAGTAGCACCTTAGAGAACAACTAAGTTTGTTCTTGGTATGAGTTTTCGTGTGCATGCACACTTCTTCAGTCTCCCCCATCCTCCTATGAATGCCTCAACTGGAAATATACCACCAAGCCATCACTGCCAAAATCATACTGTATGCACACACTTCATAGCCTGAAACCTGGTTCCTGACCCACTTTGGAAATTATTCTCTAACTAAAAGAGGAAATAATAAATATTCATACCCCCAGCCAAATAGGGAAAGGTGAGGAGCAAATTACAAGGCAACACAAAATGTTTTTCCCATTTCTATTTCCTTCAATCTTGTGACTAATATTTTCCATGCACATTTGCCCAACATGAATTCCTAAACTCTAATATTGTTGCTCCAGAAAATACATAGCAATTGAACTGGCTGGGGGTGAGGGAGGAAAAAACACACACCACAGATTTGAGAACAATGTCCCAGTGTGGTTTCCTTCCGCACTGATTGCTATGGAGTTTCTCACAGACCAACCTGCAATATAGTGCGTTGGCATAAACTACAATGATGTTAATAAAGCCAACACAGGTGATTTTAAAAAACATTTTAGGGCAGATGTGATCATAAAAGAGGGTGCCAAACACAGAATTCTCAGCACTCTCACAAAACTATAATTCCCAGTGCTGAGAGATGTGTCATACAATTTAAACCAATTAAACCTGGGTACCATTGGAAAAATTTAAGGTGCTTCCAGCTGGGAGGCTTAATATCTCAAATGGGTTGTTGGTGACAGGTTTTTGCATATTTTCTGCCAAAAAAAGAGGAATTAAATAGGGGGAAAATATAAACTGGTATTTTGATGCTGATGATGTCATGTGCACACTATATAAAACCATGCACACATCAACAGCACCAATCCCCCAATAAATACCCATGTGGAAGCATCCATACTGAGTGTGACATTATCACCCCTCCGTTCTGTAAATCATCACCACCAGTAATAAAGTGTTCCACCATGATAAACCGTTTGCTGTGCAACCTCCTGTTAAATTGCTGTCCATTGATCTTTCCCAAGTGTATGTGTTTGGAACCTATTACATAATTCTGTTTGCAAAGCACAAAAAACAAGCGGGACTACATGCATCACGCTGCTCGTTCTGCAGAGGTAACGTGCATAAATAAAAAGAAGCAAAAGTGTCTTTTCAGGGGTGCAGAGGGAAATCATTCCTAGTCAGCACATTTGGCTCACAGAGCAGATTTACTGATTAAGGATAAGCTATTTTTAGACAGGTAAAGAGCACCATTTTAAAGGTTTAATCCCCAGTGGAGGAGAGACATTGCCTAGCGATCCATTCTTTCTCTGTCCCACACTATCACCTGCTTATAGGGTGGCTAAAACACATATTGTACTGTTCACATTCCAAGTAATATGTATTCTTCAGGTAAGGTATGAAAAATATTACTGGTGGGCCTTGGAGAACCCCAACAAAGCCAAAATGTTTCCCCAGCCTTGCTGCCCGCCCCTCACCTTAGATCAATCTTACCTGAAAAGGGACTCTCTTGACAGCCAGATTTCATTCTGCTTCACTGTTTTCCATGAGAACAGCAACAGCAGCAAAGCCGAGAGGGTCGCTGCAGTGGCTCCCCATTTATTTAGCCACATACAAAGTTTGTTTAAGCCATGGACCAAGAGGATGCAGTACCCCATACTGAAAAAGCAATCAGGGAAGGAGGAGGGAGAGAAATAATTATAGCAAGATGCAATGGTTGAGGTTCTTTCACAGAGGTTAGCATAACCAGCAAGAGGGCAGGTCCCTTGCATTATCTGGCCTTCTCTCACAGTGGGGCAATATATTGCTAGATGGAGTCATTACTCCTCTGTGTCTCTTTGCTCATTCTTCAACATAACTAACTTAACACAATGCATGCTGCAATTTGACTACATCTTGCCCAGCTTCCACTGCCTAAGTCAATGATGTGAGGCAGGGGGCAGGGTAACACACAGTGAGGTGACATCCCGTCAGTTGTTTTGTTAAGCTAGACCAGGGATGGGGGACCTTTGGCCCTCTGGATGTTACTGAACTCCAACTCCCATCAACTCCAACCAGCCTAGCTCAGTGGTGAAGGAAGATTAGAGTCCTGGCTCTCCATATGTTGCAACTGCCATCATAATTGGCCAGCCTGGATGGATCTGATGGGAGGTAGAGTCCTCCTCATCCCGGGGTCCTCATCCCTTAGTTGAACATTATGAGAGAGAAGGTGCCAAGACACTCAGTGTGGTTCCTACTCCTTCTCTCTTGGCAACATCTAGTTGTACTTTGGTTCTCAAAAACCTGCCGAACATATTTGGCAACTCCAGAAGTTCAATTTTATGATGCAAATATTAAATTGGGGTAGCCAAAGTAGTGCCTTTCAGGTGTTGCTGGACCACAATTCTAATCAACTCTACAGGGAGTTTTAGTTTAGCAACAGCTGGAGGACACGGAGGTGGCTACCCTTGGTTTTAACTGTAGGGGGAGGGAATTGTAATTCTGCAATACATAAAGTTGTATGAGAGTAGCTTCCACCATGGCTATAGAAACCAGGTAATCAGTGTAACCGGGACAAAAGAACACAAACACACACATATACTCTGTCCTTTGGATATTGTAAAATACATACTCTCCCCATCACAGAACTTCCGTGTTGGAAAAAATAATGAGGGAAGCAGCTCCCCATGGGTGTGATCCCAAGTCATAGTTCCTGGGGAAATTGTCCAAGGTCAAGGTTTTCGACTATTGCCCTTGGCAAAGTTTTTAAATCTGGAAGAAAATGCTCCTTCAACTAAGATCCTCAACTTTAGTCTACCTCATACTGGCTGGGAAACTCAGAACAATATAGGACACTTCTAAGACTTTAGCCTTTTCTGACTATCCATTTGGTGCCACAGCTTTTAAAATAACAACTAAATAGCCAGGGTGCGGATGAGGGGAAAGAGATCAGGGTCATGGGATATATATTTTTTGGGAGGAGGTTAACCTTTTGTCAGTAATGTTCCAATTCAAAGCTGGGTATCACCCCACAAGCTTGCTATTCACAATGGGAGGAAAGCTCTGCTCCCACATGCCACAGAATGAGGGGAAAATATGTTAAGTACACTACATTCTGTTAGTAATTATAAGATATAGCTCTGTCTTTTTTGCTATTGCTTGCTCTTGTCTTCTGCACACTTATTTGCCTAATGCTGACATATGGTTTAACATAATCTTGAACCAGGCCATTTCTTTTGCCCCGTTTTGGTTTTTACTGCCTCTCTCCCATGCTAAACTGAATTGGTTTTTAACATGGTTTAATATAATTTTTAGCATCATTGTTATTATAATTATGTATTAGCTTTTTAATGTATTGTTGTTTAACTGGAGCATTTTGTCTGGAGCATTTTCTTTTTAATATAAGCTGTTTGGGGCTTATAAAGGAAAGGGGGGGGGAATCTACAATAATCTGCCTTAATAGTGAACTCTTAATTAGTTAAATTCACCAAGTTAATATGATCTTGTCTCGTAATACGCTCAATAGATTTTTTAAAAAAAAAACATTCACACTGAACTTCTGGTTCAGGTTTTTTTAATTACAAATATAGTTTTTATACAATTTTCATGTGTTTCCTTAAACCATTCCATATTTAAAATAACAACCAACACCGCTCCATTTAAACTAATATGCAAGGTTATTTTCCCTACAAAACTATCCATATATATTGACTCTATCTTACATATTGCCAAAATATAATTTTCTTCCCAAAGAGCTGTTTGCTAAATCTACAGTCCCTGCTAAATCTACAGTCCCTGCAGATAGCACCAGAAGCTAATCTGCTTTTGTTGTCTAACATTCCTTTGCTTTTATTCCAGTGTGTTTATTATAAAGCAACAGCATCCAAGTATCTTTTTATGGAATCAAACTTGCTATTTGATTTCTCTTCAGAGTGATTGATATTAATGGGCAAACAGCTAAATGTTCGAAGTCTGACTCTGGATAAGAATAATCTTAAAGAAAGGATGTTTGCAATGCTTAGTAACTTAATTATGTTTTATCTGATCAGAGAGCTAGAGAAACAGGAACTAACCCCAAATGGTAAAATGGCATTATTTCTTTCCTCCATTATTAAACATATGTGGGAATTGAGACTGTTTCACACTTGATTCCTGCAAGGCTGCATTTGTTTGCTCCTGGATGTGTTTCTGCAGGAGACTACGTGAGAGCAGGGTGCTCACTTGCACATCATCATCATCAGCAACAACAACAAAAGGAAATGTGCCACCAAAAAACAAGATAACAGATGTTCAAAGAATTTCCATATGCTCATTTATATGTATGGATGCAAATTTAAGCAGAAACACATCTCACAATAATGGGGAAGACTGTAACCTGGTGGCCTGGGTGCTGACGGGCAACTTCAGTGCCCCTACTGCTCTCACTTCTGAGGGTTCTAGTTTCCATCAATTTTCAAATGGACTTGGACCGGACTGATAACTCCTTCAGACAGTGGACTATCCTCTGTAAAGTAGGAAACATGACCACTCTGCCTAGCAGGCTATCAACCAAAATGCAAATACTTGGAGCATGCATTAGTGTGTGGCATTTTTTCAAATGCTGCCTTGGTACCAAGTGGCGGGAAGTCAGCTGCTCAGGAAGTTCAGCCCGAAGTTCTTAGAGCATATGAATTGAGGAAACTGGATACATTACGTGAGCACGCCAAATTCCCCAAATGATCAAGGGGTTAAAGACTTTCTTTAGAATGAAAGGCTGAAGGTTTTCGGACTTGTCAGCTTAGAAAATGAATAGCTACTTAGCACAGTGTGTTTGTGTGTGTGTGTGTGTGTGTGTGTGTGTGAGAGAGAGAGAGAGAGAGAGAGAGAGAGAGAGAATGTGTGGAATATGAAATACAGAATTATGGACGGCATGAGAGAGAGAGAGAGAGAGAGAGAGAGAGAGAGAGAGAATGTGTGGAATATGAAATACAGAATTATGGACGGCATGGGAGGCTGAATAGAAAGTCATCATTTCTCCCCCTTGCATCGTACTAGAATTCAGGGTCACCTAATTAAGCTGATTGGCAGTAGATGCAGGAGCGACAAAAAGAAGCAGCTTTTCGCACAGCGCAAAAATGGATAATGGAAATTTACCACCTCAAGGCTGCTGATGCAGCACAGAGAATGGAAGTGTTATACAGGAGGGATCACAGCTCAGGAGTAAAGCTCATGCTTTGCACATAGAAAGACCCGGACTCTGGCATCACCAGTTTTAAAAAAGAATAAGGGAGCAGGTAATGGGAAAGGTTTCAGTCTGAGACCCAAAAGAGCTGCTGCCCATCAGACTAGGCTGCAAATGACCCATTAAAATTCGTGCAGCCAACTGAAAATCACTGTTATAAGATCTGTTTAGGTAAAAACAAGCCTGACTACAATTAACCTCAGCCTGCAATACCTTCGGATTGCAGTACCCTCAGTATTCATTGATAAAAGTTGTTAATAAATGGAGCAGGGCAGCTACAAGTGTCATTAATTTCAACAGGAGATACCCTTAAGCATGCTTAACTCTATCCAATGGAATCTACAGGGTTTAAAGGTGCACAATGCAGGCTGGATCGTGCCCCTTCTATTTAGAAATAACTCTAACAATACTTTTGACAGCACTTTTAAGCCACAAGAGTGTCACAATCCTTTACCTACCTCACCACAACCCTTTGAGGTAGGTCAGAATTTTCCCCATTTTATGTTCAGAGAACTGAGGGTAAGTGTTCACACCTTGCCAGTGGTAATTCATGACAGAGTGATGTGCCAACCCCTATTCTCTCATATTCAAGTGAGGATGCAATCTGCAACCACTGGTGAGACTTAAAGGAATATGATCTAAGGATCAAATTCTGGTCATTTACAAATAAAATTTGCATATGTTTTCAACTGATGACACAGTTTAATCCTTTTGTGTCAGGTTTTTTTTTGGGGGGGGTTGCGTTCTTAAGCAGTTATCTACAGAAAGCGTATGTTGTATAAAAGTGGAGGGATTGCATTTGACTTCAACTGTAGGGGGAACGACACACAAGGCTTTCATCGAAGTAGAGGTTTTGTCATGTTCACAGTATTACGAATGATTTGTCAGAGGCATGGAGAAATTCAGATTTCCATGAGTAAATTGAAAAAAATAAAATGGAAAAAGACTAGATCGGGCCAACAGCACACCAAATAAGCATTCGTAATAGGAAGTTAGGAGGAAAATATCCCCTAGAAGCAAGTGAATAATAATATATTCTCTTCAAATGAATACTTGGCTGGGGGGAAAGGGAGAGAGCTCTTTTGTGATTTTAAAGGGTCACAACCTCATAAAATTTTTAACTCTATTCTCACATCCTCATCACACTATGAATTTTAATTGCTATCGAACAAAATGCTATTAAAAGAGGTGAAGTAAAATGGCTACAAAATCCATTTCTCTTTTTACTTCCAGTTCCTCCCCCCCTCAAACACATCAAATCATCTTTTGGCCCATTACAATGTAAGCAATTTCCTTTTTAAGGAGGACATGGTGAATACAAATATGTGCTTTTGAAAAATAATAGGTAAGTATCATTTAATGCCGAGTGCTAGACCCCAGGCCATCTCAAAACATTCCATGGTGACCTGAATATTCCATAACCACCACAAAACTTCACATTCACTAATATGCGTAATTT